GGCCGAGAGGGTGGAGGGTTCTTGGAGGAAAAGCCTGAGGGCTGGGGGGCTTTCCCTGCCCAGGTGACCTGGAGGGGCTGAGGGAGCCCCGGCCTCTGTTGAGGGATGTACTGCAGGGTGGCCACAGGAAAAGCGGGTATGGGGCATAATGCATCTAGTAGATCCTAGCTAATGAGAGAGGAGTGGACACCCATTTCTTGACCCCCGGGCCAGATCTCGCCCCTGAAATGTGACTTTTCTGACAGCAGTGTTTATAGACTCTGTGGGTAGTGGGAAATGACGGGAGAAAATAAGGAAACAAAAAAGAAAATGTGTAGAAGACCAAATGAAATATGACATCTCAAAGAGTCCTGTGACCTTGGGCCGCTTCTATGTCCTCATCTGCGTAATGCTCCCCACCTCTTGGAGTGGATGTGAGGCTCGGAGAAGGCTCCCCACCTCTTGGAGCGGATGTGAGGCTTAAATGAGATGCTACGGGTCAAAGAACCGTGTAAACTTTAAAGTGCTATAACGGACAGGAGGGGCTGTGGTCCTTCTACGAGCGTAAGGCTGAAAGTGGCTGAGACAAAAGCGGCGAGAGACACGTGCGGAGCATCCCTCGAAGTGATCAGACCCCTGCTCTGCCTTCCCCAGGGCCGAGCTCCACCTTTCTCAGCCTCGGCTTCCAGGAGGAAGGGGCCTCATCTGAGGGAGTCCCCTGGGGAGGGAGAGCAGATGGTGGGGGCCGGGAGCGGGTAGGGGCACTGAGTGGGAGGGGCCTCAACCGGGCGGTGTGACACATTGGCACTACGGTGTTGGGCAGATGGTAGCAAGTGGCTTCCAGTTCTCATTCTCCACAGAGACTTGGGCGCTGGGGAAGCCCCCATGGGACTGGCATCTTGATGCGGTGTGAAGGGCCCTGGCCCAGAGTCTCGACACGCTGGGTCCTGGTCCTGGGTCAACTGTTGACCTTCTGGGAGACTTCGTAAGTCACTTCCCCATTGCAACCCTCAGTTCTGTCCTTCGTAAAATGGGGACACTATTCCCTACCCTGCCTACCTCACAAATTAAACGAGAAAGGGGTGTTCCAAGAGCTTTGAAGAGAATCATGGGAAGGCAAGGGGTCATTATGGCCTTGGTGAGCAATCCTCTTAATTCCCTGAAGACAAGAGAGAGGGGGCAAGAGACAGAAAGGAGCTGGGCTGCTTGCAACCCTTGTCAGGTGAGTCAGGCTTGCCAGGCTGCCAGGGAAGGGAGGGAGGTGCGGGGGCGGGGGAGGCCGGACAGCCCGGGCCGGTAATCCAGCCCTTATTGTGCCAACGACAGGGATGCTGTGAGCCCCGGCAGGGAGTGCCGAGATGTCCCGGCAGCCCCTTGGTGGGGGCGAAAACTTCAAGTTCTCCATCTGCTGGGGTCCTGGCTTGGCCCTCTGCTCCCTGGTCCATTGAGGGCGCCCTGCAGGGAGTCCATGGTCTTCGCCCCTCCCAGGCAAAGGCAGGGCAGGGGTGGGTCTCCAGCGGTGGGTCTCCAGGAGAGGCTGGGGACTTTCTCAGCAGGAGGTCGAGAGGTCAAAGGTCAGCTTCCAGTCCTGGAGGTGGCCAGGTGGGGGTTGTCAGGCTGTTCCCCAACTCCAGTCCCCGCTCTGTCTCTGGGGGCGCCGGAGAAGGGGGAGTTAGGGGCGCGGAGACACCACGGAGAGATCGGAGGTCAGCTTAGAAGGCAGCCCCGCCGGGGAGCTAACAGTTCTTGGGGCTGTTGCGCAAGTTTTTCAGCTCCAGCTGCAGCTGCCGAATGCGGATGTCCTTCTGGGCCAGCTCCTCTTTCATCCGCCGGATCTCATCCTGCTGCCGGAAGAACATTCGGAGGAGCTGGGGTGGACGAAGAAGAGAGGGGCGGTGGTGGGGCGGGAGAGAGCAGGTGAGAAGGCGAGTTCTCGCGAGCGGGTGTCGCGCCTGCCCCGCCCCTGCCTCCCCCTCTCCGCCTGCCCCGGCTTTAGTGTCCCCATAGGCTCTCGTCCCTGCAGCGGTGCCCTTCTCCAGACCCAGCTCACCGCTCCCGCTTCCCCTGGGAGTCCAACACCGCCCCTTCCCCAAATATCTTGAGCGCACCCTTTTAGGGGTGCAGACATAATACTCTTATTTACCATTCTGAATGGGAATCTTTCTAAAATGTTTTGTATCCTTCTTTTCTTAAGGAAGCTCAGATACAGAATGGAAGCCCGCTTTTCTGCTGCCGGGGGGCACTATCTCGGCCACCAAGGTCCGCACTGCGCTGGGATTCACTGGTGGGGTGGGCATGGGCAAAGCAGGGGCATCGGACAGCCCTTTACTTAGACAAGCCCCTGGATTAACCAGTGTCGCCCCTCCCACGGGAAAGCAGACTGCCAGATGCCTGCAAAACACTGAGCCCTGCAAGGCAGCGGGCCCCAATGAGGACCCCACTCTTGAACTGAATGTTCCTGACACGCACCTGTGGGTGTCCTCACGTTCCCTGGTGTGAGCTGCATGTGTTTTTGTAACTGTCTACTTTAGTGAGATGGGATAGACAATAATGAAATGGTTCGAAAATGTTCCCAGGAAAACAAAGTCGAACGCGTTAGACAAAGGGGATGCTAACAGAGTTGCTTCTGAGCTGGGGGTGGGCGGTGTAAACATAAGAGATCAGAAATAGTTTATATCTTGATTGTCCCATAGTGGTGACCTGGCTGTATGTGTTGGTCAAAACTCATGGAATGGGACACTGCAAAGGATGACTTTTACCACAGGGAAATTATACCTCAATAAATCTGTCTAAAACAAGAAAAAACGGGGGACAACTCTGAAAAATACTCGGGCTTTGTTTTCAGAGTCATGGTCAGTTGCTCCACCTCAAAGAAACTGAAACTGCTATTTGGAGTGAAAGGGTGATTTATTTGTGAACGACATAGCAGATTCCCAACCAGGAATCTCCTCAAAGCAGAGTCTTGGTCCTGAATCAAAGTAGGATGTACGCATGTAGGTATGTATGTATTTTAATGTGTTAGTGTATGTGCTGCCAAAGCCAGCACTATTTACTTAATGCATTAAATGAAAATAAATGGTTTAAAGAATGTTTTTATCATTTTTATGATTCTTTCTTTAACTGACTTCTTTTTTTTTTTTTTTAACCAACAAATGAGTACTGGTTACATCTCTTTGGAGGGATGATGTGCTATTTGCCCCTGCATTCAATGACTTCACGCACTCCCGTGGCTTCCAAGTTCTCAAAATTCCTTTGCATAATCTTTTGGTCAGCTTTTGTTTAAAAAACAAAACAGTTTTATTGAGGTGTAATTCACATACCCTAAATTCCACTCATTTTAAGTGTACAATTAACTGATTTGTAGTAAAATTCAGAGTTGTATTCAAGTCTCTTCCCCTGTATCAAGCTACCAGTTTCTCTTCGCACATAGACCAATGTGTCCACCATGTACAGTCCAATTTTCTAATTGGTTGCTCCCAGTTGGCTGTGATAGTTGAAATTGTGGATAAACCCGGAGTCAACAGGCTCTGAGCGGATTTCTTTGCAATAACAAAGGTGTACAAGATTTAGTGCAGACCGATTGTGGCATCTGTGTTGCCTGCTCAGAGATCCTTGAAAATTTCCCTCTGGGTCGTCAGTTTCCGGCTCATATAAACAAGTTGAAACAAAATGTTACTTGATTTCAATCCTGCTCAACCCTGCCTCTCCTACACTGGGTACTAGAACTGAGCTCAGTCTCTTGTTATGGCCCACCTGGGCTATCCCAGCAACTCAGGTACCTTCTACCTTCTCAGGGGGCTTAATTTTTTTTTTTTTTTAATGAAAAATGCCAGATAGATACAAAAGTGGAAAGATTAGCACTATGAACCTCCAAGTACTCATCAACCGGCTTTAAGAAAGAACATGTGACCATTCTTGCTTTATCTCTACTCCTACCCACTTCACCTGCACCACCTCTATCAGGGATTATTTTGAAGCAAATCTCATTTATCACCCGATTCCATCCAATCCTAGACATCTGAACATCCCTCTAGAATGGTACTGAATATATTGTATAGCAATTATCAGTTTACCTTTCAAATTTTCCTTTAAGACTGTGAGCTCCCTGAGGTCAGGAATAGTCTTTTCATGAATAATAGTGATAATCATAAGTTGGTGTGACAAGAAACCTTTAATATAGCCCCTATGTTACCCCTCCCTTCAAGGGTGGACTGGACCTGGAAACTTGCTTCAGATGAATAGAATATGGCAGAAGTGATGGGATGTCATTTCCAAGGTTAGGCTACAAAAAGACCATGACTTCCATCTTGGACACCTTCTCTTGCTCACTTGGAGGGATGCCAGCTACCATGTTGTGAGCTGCCCTACGGAGAGGTCCATACGGTAAAGACCTGAGGGAGGCCTCTGGCTGATAATCCATGAGGAACCGAGACCCTCAGTCCAGCAACCTGTGAGGAAACGAGTCCTTCCAGCAACCATGTGAGTGAATGTGGAAGCAGATCCCTCCCCAGTTGAGCCTTCAGATGTGGCTGCAGCCCAGGCACCAGTTTAACTACAGGGTCTCCTGAGAGACCTTGAACGATGGGCATCCATTCTGAGATACTATGAGATACTAAATGTTTACGGGTTTAAGTCACTAAGTTTTGGAGTGACGCCTTACACAGCAATAGATAACTAATATAGGGAGCCTCACTGAGCACTTCATATGGGCCAGGAAGAGCGCTAGACACTTAGGAAGTATCTTGTGCTATTCCTATGTGTTATTTCCCATCCCCACTTTACCAGGAGAAAGGCCAGGAAACTTGTTTGGGCACAACCGGGAAATAGCAGAGCCCGGATTCAGATGCAGGTGGGTCCATGCAGCTATCTCTACTTCAGCTGCATCAGGCAAAGTGCCTGGCACAGGGTGGGCATCCATGAACCCTGGCGGAGCTGAACTCAGCCCCTGGTCTTGGCACTGGGGCCTGGGCATACAGTGGAAAGGAGAAGCCTTCGGGGGGCAAGGGGGACGTGGATCAGAATGAGCTGCTCCCATTCTAAAGGGTGCAAACTACTTCCATAAACATAGCCTCTTGCCCCCCAACAGGGAACTGTCAGACCCTGTCACTGCCACGATGCCAGGGAGGAAGGCAGTGCTGTAAGGCATGAGGTCAGGCTTTCCTCTGTTAGTCAGTAATTTATAACTCCCGTAACAGCAAATGACAACCCCGTTCTGAAATGAGACGCGGGTCTGGCTAGTGAGGGCCAGGGGTGGGGGTGGGGCATCAATATCGCTACCAGATCCCAGCCTCTATTTATTGGGGTCAGAGGCAATGGAAGCCAATAGCAGGCTACTTATGGTATTTGTCACAGAAAGAAAAATGCCCCAGATGGAGCCAGCTTAAAGGCCTGAAGCCCATAATTGAAATGTAAAGGTCTCCCTCTTCCAGGACCTGTGGACGTAATAACTTATATTCCTTACCTCGTTCTCTGTCCTGGGCGGGACATTCTCTAATAAATCTATTCCATTGACCACAACGCTCTTCTTTTCTTTGATGGGAGCCTTAAATACCATTTTTGAGGACTTCTTATAGCCTTCCTTCAAAGACATCAGCACAGGATCTACAGAAGGCAAGAGAAACGTTCATGCCGACAATTTGGTGGCATGTAAAGTGATGGCATCTTTCGTTCACACCATGCTTGACAGCTGGTCGAGTGTGTGTGTGTCGGGGCGGGGGGGGTCAAGCAGGAGGCTGCAGTGAGGGGCAATGGGCGAACCGAGCGAAGGCAGAAGCTGCAGTCTCGAAGCCTCTCCCGGGGAGCCCACCCGCGCAGTACCTCGGTTGATGCCCCCCAGCCATTCATCCGGGGTCAGAGCTGGCTCCGTGCCTGGCGTCATGGGGTAAATGTCTTCCTGGTAGGAATCCGACTGCAGCGGGGGAGCAGAAGAGTGGACAGATAGGGGCCGCTGAGAGAACCCCTGCTCTTCAGCAGTCCCTCCTGGCTGACCTCCCACTGTGCTCCCGCTGTCCTGCCCCCAAGCCTCAGCACTTGGGCGTCTCCCACGTGGAATCCCCACCCTGCATCTGTCAGCAAGCCAGACTGTCCCCACCCTAGAATGGCCCCCATCTTCCCCCCGCCACCCCCAAATTGGGCCCAAAGACCCCAGTCCACAGGAACTTCTTCTTCTGGGTTCTTCAGGCTTATAGCCTGTGGCGAGCCAGCTGGGATTGAGTGTGGGGGTCCCTTTGGAGCCCAGCACAGCCCCACTTACCCTCCGGGGCACGATCATAGAGATGGGCTCGATCAGGCCCTTGAGAGTCACCAGCTTGTAGAAGCGGAACACCTCGCAGGCTGACACATCCAGCCCATGCTTGGGCATGACCCCTGTGGACAGGCACACGCAGCTCCGTGGGATCCCGGGGTACCTCTCAGCGCCTCTCCTCCTTCATGTCCTTGGCCCAGGTGTCCCTGAGCACTTAGGAGGCAATGATCTAGGCACAGGGCAGCAGGTGGGCTGGGGGCCAGGCTCTGTCTCTGGTAGCAGCATCTCAGATCAGCCCCTCGGGCCAGATGCGCCTCACCAAGTGCATGCTTTAGAATTGGGGCCTTTTGTAACTGGGAGGGGCTATTGAAATATTTGAGTCTATTCCATTCTTTTGACAGATGAGACTCCTGCTGGTTTAGGGGAGGGGGCTTGCCCCAGGTCACAGAGTATGGCTAGGGCAGGGCCACTGAGCCTGTTACCTTCTAAAATAAACTAGTTTCCCTCAGCCTCTGTGTTTCTGGTCCTCAGAGAGAACAAAGGAGAGAGAAACCTTTCTCCATGCACCCTCGAGCCTGAGATTGCTGTTCCGTCGTATATCTGGGACTGACAGGGCGCGCCTGCGTGTGTGCGTTCCTGAGTGTGTGCGTGTACTACTTATCCACGTGTGCACACTAGCCACCGTGTTCCTAACAGCGGCGTCTACTGTGTACCTACTGAGGAAACTGAGTGGTGTGAGGTTAGGGACGCAAGCTTTGGGGTCAGACACACTTGGTTCTGAGTCCTGACTCTGCCCCTCCCCCTGGCTGGGAGGTCTGGGGCAAATCACGGCATCTCTGAGCTTCAGGTTCCCTGGCTGGTTAGAGACGGACAGTATGACCCTACATGAGATGGTCAGGAGACTGAGCAAGAAGATGCTCGTTGACTGCCTGGCAACATCGTGAGCACAGATAACGTTAGTTTCTTTTTCCATGATGTGAACCTTAGTTAAGGTCCCAGCTCTCCTTGACTGGAATGGAAGGCTGCTTTTCCAGATAAAGAAATTCTAGGAGCTGGAGGGAAGTACTGTAAAGGTACCTGAGTGGGGTTTAGAGCCAGCAGACCTGGCTTTGAATTCTGGCTCTGCCACTTAGGATCTATGTGACCTGCTTGACCACCTCCCCAGTCACATAGATCTACTCAGCTACTCAGAACCTATGAAAAGTGCCTGGCTCCCGGCAGATGCTCCACAGTGGCCACAGATGAGGGGGAGAGGAGAAACAATTCTCCTTGATTCCTCCCTCCCCTCTTCCCTCTTCCTCAAGTCCTGCTGACCCTACCTCCTGAGCACCTGCATTCATCGCCCCATCTTCCTGCCACCTCTCCAGTTACCACCCTTTCTTGGCTAGAAGTCCACAGTGGCCTCCAAACTGGTCTCTCTGCCTCCCTCCTGTGCTTTCCAAATCTGTTCTCCCCCACTCCCAAACAAAAAACAAGAAAACCAAATCCGTTCTCCCTACAGAAGCCAGAGCAACCTTAGACTAACATTTCAGATCACGTCATGCTGTCCCATCTCCCACCCGTCTGCCCAAGACAAAGAAAACCCTCCAGTGAGTTCCCAGTAAAACCCAAACTCCTTCCCCCGTGTGACGGTTAACTGTATGTGTCTGCGGGCTCAGGAAAGCAGGTCACCCTCCCCAGGGTGGATGGGCATCATCCCATCCACGGAGGGTCTGAACAGAACAAAAGGCAGAGGAAGGAGGAAGCCACTCCCTTTTTCCCTGCCTCACCGTCTGAACCAGGACAGCTCATGCCATCTTCTCCTGCCCTTAGACTGGGATTCACACCATCAACTTCCCTGGTTCTCGGGTCTTTAGACTTGGACTGACTTGGGTCTCCAGAAAGCCAGCAGATCATGGGACTTTTTTTTTTTTAAGATTTTATTTATTTATTTGAGAGAGAGAGAGCAGGGGGAGAGGCAGAGGGAGAGGGAGAAGCAGACTCCCCGCTGAGCAAGGAGCCTGACGTGGGGCTCAATCTCAGGATTCTGAGATATATATTACATATACATATATATATATTTTTTTTTTTTTCTGTTTCTCTGGAGACCCCTTCACGAATACATCCTTCTAATCCATCCCATGGCATCTGGCCCCTGCCCTTAGCTCCAGATTCACATCCCAACCCCCTCCCCATCTTCCGCTACGTTACAGAGCCTATACTTAATCACACTAACCTCCATTCTGTTTCTAGAACATGCCAGGCTCATTCTTGCCACAAGGACTTTGCACCGACTGTTCCTCCTGCTGGCCCTACTCTTCCCTCTTTCTGCCTTTTAGATCTCGGCTTAAAAGTTCACCTCCACAGTGAGGCCTTCCCTGACTATCTGGTCCCAAATAGCCCCTAGTCACTCTCTGTTCTATTGCCTTATTTGAATCTCTGCCTAGAACTTACGACCATCTAGGATTTTCCTTCCTATTTGTTTGTCTGTTTCCCTTTAGTGGAATGTGAGCCCCACGAGAGCAAGGCTGGGTAACATATTATTTACCACTGAGTCTGGGGGCTGCCACCCAGTAAGTGTTTGTTGAATGACTATGTGAAAGAGCACCTGGAAGAACCAGGTGCTCTGCCAGGTGCTCTATCTAAGCTTTACAACAGCCCTACCTAAAGGTAGGTTTGGTTTTCCCTATTTTACAGATGAAGAAACTGAGCCTCAGAAGGGTGAGGTATGCATTTGAGTCCAAATGTAAATCTAGGTCTGACTCAAAGTCCAGGCTGCTTTTTATTCTACTCAATGAAGAGGTGACAGTGAGGAGGAGATGATGGAGTCAGGGAAGGCTGAAGTCAATGGAATGGTCATTGGGACCTCAGGCATATCTCTGGGCCACCATCTTGCTGTCAGTCACTGAGGTGGGCTTTTGGGCCCTTACAGCACTGACGACCTGGAAGCTGGCTCACAGGCCCTATCCATAACACCAGATCCCCAGAGGGAACAAGCCAGACTCGGGCTCCAAGGTAAGGAGGGAACAGAGCCCCGGACGAAACTCCTTCCAACTGGATGATTCTGACCCCAAACAGGGAATTGCTGAATGATATGTGATGCCAGTGTTAGTTGACAGGAATGAACATTTTGCTGTTAAGACTTTAGTGGTGGTAGAATGTGGGCTGTGAAGAACATCTCATCCCTGCCCTGACTCATGATGCTCCGTCAATCCCAGGCCCTCTGGGGAGCCTGGGGGGTGCAGTGATGGGGACCCCCTAGAACTTCCTCCTGTCCTCTCAGGCAAGAAAAGAGCTGCTCCTGAGGACTGGGTGGTGTGCTGGTTCCCAAAGGCTTCAGGAAAGGGTCTGGGCCTAGACCTTGCTCTGACCTTTAGTTACGCCACCACCTCCCGCAGGGTCAGAACCACTTTGGGCTGCAGTCTCCCCATCTGCAGACGGGAGTGAAGACATGGTGAACACCCCTGTGGGCTGATGACCAGAGATGGTGGAGGACGTCAGGCACCGCGGGCTAGCAGTCCGTCAGGTGGGTGCTGACAGGCTGGCTGAGGAGGGCGGGATGACCTCAGGGCCAGCAGCTGCAGCTTCTATTCTCATTGCCCAGGAGCTATGGGCTTCTGAGTCTGCTATTTCATTTAAGGGCAGGGTGACCCATGAGCCAAACGTCCAGCCTCTCTTTTATAGCACCACAGCCATGGAAGCCTCTGGACCACACTTACCTAGGCCCTTCTGCGGGGCTGGGGAGCGGAACTCCATGAGGTAACTCAAGAAGGGCTTCTCAGAGCTGATCTCGTAGTACCGGATGTTTCCATCTCCCTGGGGGCAGGGAGAAAGGGAGGGAGGTGAGGAAAGCAGGGGGTGGTCCTGGGGGTCCGCTGAAGAAAGCCTCTGGTGTGCCTCAGGGGTGGTCAAAAGACCAGGGAGACCTGGCCTCTAGGCCCGGGGCCGGCTGCCACGGGGCACTGAGGGGGGTGGTGGGGTGGGGGTGCCGTGTGTGTGTAGACAGCGCTTCTGATACACAAGGCCATATTTGCCAAAGGGCACCTGGCAGGTGCCTCAAATGCCACGACGAGTCGCTGTCCTCCACACTTCTGGCTCTGATCCTTATTCCGGTGTAAACCCCACCCCAGTGCACCTCTGAAGTCATTCCCAGTCACTGACCCTTCAGTAGGAATGAGTGGCAGACCCGAGGGCATGTTCTGATGGGAGAGTGAGAGCCCGAGGGGAAGACCAGAGAGGTTAGCCTGGCTCTTCCTAGGGGGTAGGGCAGGAGCAGGGGCACTATGGGGGTGGGGTCTCCCACAGGCCGCCCCGTGCCTCCCCCCCCCCGTCTCCTACTACCTTTCCAGCCAGGTAGAGCATGTGGGTGTCAGCATCGTAGAAGGGAAACAGGAGGCCTGACAGCCCATCAATTTCCTCCTCGATCAGGGGCATGGACAGGTCCTCCTTGGGGTGGGGGGAGGGGATGAAGACCGGTATCAGCCTGTGTCCCGGCAGGACGGCACCTTACCTTCCCCGACCCCAGCAAAGCCCCCAGAGCGACCACCCTTCTGTGTCACCATCTGGCCTCCCCATGGCTGACCTGGTCCCAGAGGGCGATTTGTCTCGTGTTCCACCTGGAGACCCCTGTCGTGAGAAGCCGTTTCATGTTTCCCAGGAACACCACCCGGTTCACTCTGTGGTTTTTGCAGTTTGCCTCCTGGTGGGGACAGAGAGAGCAGGTTAGCCAGGGCCCCGGACACTAGGGAAGTGCAGTGGGCTGAACGGGGCCCCCAAAAGATAGGTCTAGGCCTTCATCCCTGGAGCCTGTGAGATGGGGCCCTTAACTGCTTTGCATCATCCAAGTGGGCCCTAAAGGTCATCACGAGCATCCTTGTAAGAGGTAAGAAAAAGGGAGGCGCTGCAGACACACAGCAAAGGTGATGTGACTCCAGAGACAGAGATTGGAGGGATGCGGCCACAAGCTGGAAGAGGCGAGGAAGGGTTCTGTCCTGGAGCCTCCCGAGGGAGCGCAGCTTTGACTTTGGACTTGTGGCCTCTGGAACTGGGAGAGAAGCACTTTGTGTTGCTGTAAGCCAAGCCCCTGACGGTGGAAAGTCCTTACAGCCGCCAGCGGGGGCTAACGCAGGTGCTGTGGAGCAAAGGGGCCCTGGGGCCAGGAAACCAGGCCTAGCTGTGTGTCCCAGAGGTGGGGGGGGGGCTCGGGAAGGGGGGCTAACGTCAGCTGTGCCAGGTGCTCTCAGCGAAGCATCTCTTCCAAGAGTCATGACAGGACCTACTGACGGGAATCTCCGAGGATGAAGATGAGGCTCAGGAGCACAGGGGACTCCCTGGGTCACTGCTCGGCGACTTGCTTCACCCAGGGCTCCTTCTAAGCAGGCCATCCTCTGCCTCCTCCCCGCCCCTGCCTCTCAAGTCGTGACCCTTCCTCTTCCTCCTAACACACAACAGCTCTTTGCTGGGCTGAGTCAGCATCAGGTCAGAAACCAGAGGCTTGTGGTGCAGTGTCACTTCCGGTCCTGCCCAACGAGTGTAGCCCCCAGGAGTCCCACCTCGCCGGCCCGTGTCATGTCTGTGAAGTGGAGCTTGGAGTCTCTGCTCTTCTGCTCAGCAGGGGCTCTGGGGGCCACTGGCTGGGCTTGGATTCTGGCTCCGCCTGCAACTAGGCTTCCATCTCAAACCCTCTCCAAGCCTCAGTTCCCCTGTGTGAAGCGGGAAGAGTAGCCGTGCCCACCTTAGCAGGCCGTCAGGAGGATGCAGGGAGTCACGACGTGGAGCCCCACAGCGAGCTGGGAGTCAAGGCTGCTGGATCCTAAGGATGCTAATAACTCTGAGTGTGATTATCTGTAATGGTCGTAGTAGATGACTTTCTGCTCTTGCAAGTTCGGACTCTTCCGAGATAAGCAGCACCGGGTCGAGCATCAATCCTTTCTTGTGTAGGAGGTAAACCTCACATTTCATCCACATTTTCCACCCCACCTGGCCCCTCGACTGGCATGCAGTAGGTGCTCAGGAAGTGTTCACTTCTTACTCCCAAATGGCATCTAATTCCTTCTTCACAGTCAAGACCCAGGAGACTCAAAGATCAAGCTGGAGCTAAATTCACCAGCAACCTCCCCACTTGGAGCCGTCCTGGGGCTGGTGCCCTGAGCCATCTCCCTCAGGCTCATCCCATGCAGGTGGCTGGGCAGTGAGTCCAAAGCCCCCTTTCCTGGGCTCACGGTGGGGCTTGGGGAACACCCCGGGATTTGTGGGCTGAAGGGTGTCACCAGAAGAATCTCACCTGGGAAGAGGGGTACAGTGAGGATGAGAAAGGGTACGGAGGCCCGCCCCCACCCAGACTAAGGCAGGGTCCCTGTGAGTTGAGAAGAACCCAGAACACAGGGGCTGGTCCATGGAGGGGCAGGCCATGTGTGGGGGAGAAGGGGAGCTAGTACAGCCTTTTCCTCTAGGCCTGACTGAAAGCCACGGCCCAGATCCTGACACCTGCCCTTTCCCTCAAAGGCTGTGGGGCTTCACCTGCAGGACGCGGCCGGAGCGGGGCTCGATCACACGAAGCTTCTTGTCCTTGCACGTGGTGGTGAGCAGGCTGCCGTCCGTGTTGAAGGACATGCAGAGGATCACATCCGAGTGGCAGTCTATCATCTTCACCGGCTCACCCACGTCCAGGTTCCAGATGAGGACCTGCGAGGGGAGGGTAGGCATGCCGGAGGCAGGTCAGCCCTGAGGCGTCTGTCCCTGGTCTGCACTCAATGGCCCTGGGAGAGATGTCCCACGTGGGGTCGGGGTGTGCTGGGCGGCAGGACGGGGGCATGAAACTCTGTATCAGAGGCTGATGCTCCCTGTCGCACAAATCCGCTACCGTCCCTCAGCAGAGCCCAGCCCCATGGTTCTGCTACCAGCAAGAAGGATCAATGTTCCTGGCCAGGGCCCATGACTGGCACACCTCTTTTGAGGGCATGCCATTCTCTTCCCTCCAGCAATTCTGGTTGCTCCTTTTTCCTACCAGGAGGGCAACAGTCACTTCTGGATTTAAGAAGTGGCTCCGGAGAGGGTGTGGGCATGGAGGGTGGGCATTCTCTTCTAGTCCGTCAGGGCCAGAGAAACCAGGGAGGCAGCCTCTGTGGACCCCAGGAATGACAGGGCACACCGAAGATGCCCAGTCCTGTGGAATGAATGAATGAATGAATGAATGAACAGACAGACGGGACGGTGTTGGTGAACATGCTCAGGAGAGTAACAGTGCTCCTACAGGTGGCTTCTGAAGAGTCCTCCCTACCTCCCCCCGCCCCCAGCACTGAGCTGGCTTGGGACACAGCTGCTGTCAGGCTGCTCACCTTGTAGTCATAGCCAGCACTGAACAGGATGTTGTTGGTAGTGGGGTGCCACTCGACCAGCCCCACGCGCCGGCTGTGCCCGTGCAGCTCTAGGAGAGCCTCTGTCATGTTCCGCTTCAACCCCCCCTCGGGGATCTCCCAGATCCGCACCTGCAGAGCGGGGTGGAGGGCTGAGGCTGGGTGGGCAGGGCCAGGGGCAGCCCCTGCCGGCCCTCTCCCTGAGACCCCAGGCTTCCCCAGATCTGTGCCGCGGGACACCTCCTGGCCTGTCCGGTGGGCAGAGCCTGACTGAGGTCCGGGGGAGGCTCCAGGACGCACATCACACAGTAAGCACCTCTCGGCGAGTGTTGTATTAAAAGTCTCCCTCTGCTTCCCGTCCCACGCCCTGCTAAGAGCTCTGACCTCAGTCTCGGCAGCTCTGTTGGTTTCACACGGCCCTGTCCCTCACTCTGCTCCTCACCAAGGTGGACTCGAGAGCAGAGGAAAACCCATCTGGGAGGCTGGGAGGCCCAGAGTCTCTCCTGAGAGGTGAGGCTCCAAGGGGCAGAGACTGATCAGATGTTTGGAGCCTATACCAGGAGGACGGGCAGACCCTGGATGCAGCTGCTATTTTCAGTCTTGTAGATGCTGGTAAAGAAGCAGAAAGAGGGGCACCTGGGGGGCTCAGTTGGTTAAGCGTCTGCCTTCAGCTCAGGTCATGATCTCCGGGTCCTGGGATGGAGCCCTGAGTTGGGCTCTGTGCTCAATGGGGAGTCTGCTCCTTCCTCTGCCTTTCCCCTCCACTTGTGCTCTCTCTCTCTCTAAAATGAATAAAATCTTAAAAAAAAGAAAGAAAGCAGCAGAAAGAGATGATGGGCCAAGAGGAGGATGGGACATACAGAGGAACAGAGAGCGGAGACCATGTGGCCCCAGAGAGAGGAAGTGCGCAGTCGGTCCGCCATCTTTGAGTACCCCCCGGATTACTGACAACAGCCCCGGGTGGGCTTCCATTTCCTGGGCCAAACATTCTCTGCCTAGCTGCAACTGTTTCATCCACAAATGGGAGAAAAAAACTCTTTGCCTTGCCTTGCCTCCTGGAGGAATAGAATGAGATGCTAGTTGCCCAAGTTTGTAAACTGTAAAGTGCTCAAAAGACCTAAGGAATTCTCATCCTTGTTATAATCGTTGTCAACATGAATGCTATTGATTATGCTCTGACTAGAAAGAGCACACGTCTCTACAACTTAGGGCACCTTTAAAGCAAATCTTTTGAAAATCTGAACTCCACCCTTGCCAGTAAGGAGAAAAACTGGAAAAACAGCTTTGAGATACCATTTATAATATTCTAAAGTAGCCAACTGGGAGGTGGGGGGAGAGCCGAAGTTGGCAAGATTATATACTGGAACTGGTAGATGCAATCGGTGTTGGTAGTATTATAAATCTGAGTAATTCTTTTGGAAGCAATCTGGCAATCTTTTGCAGGAACCATAAAGACATTTATGTCGTATTGCTTGACCTGGTAATTTCACTCTGAAAATCCAATATAAGCAAAAATCTCCGTGCATGAAGGTGTTCACCGCAACGCGGAAAATTTAGAAACCCTCCAAGTGACCGACATTAGGGGAGCAATTTAGTATGTCATGTTATTATGCGATATTAACTAGTGGATGATAATTCTGAAGCCTATGAATAAACATGGAACTCCAAAGGCAGTCCTCAGGACAGGGGAGAGGGCTGGCAACTGGGGGTGCCCCCAAGGCCCTTCCCGTGGTGGTTTCCCTTCTTGTGTCCCCCGAAGACCCAGCTCTGCACATGTAGACACGGGAGGCCTCAGGGTGAGAAAAGCAAGTTCAGTCAAAGGTTTGGGGTCACCCTTCGGTGTACCCTTCTCAGTTTAACAAACATGCTGGAGAAAAAGTTTCTAATTAGGGGACCCTTCCCCCAACAGCCTAATTCCTGAGCATCCAGCTAACCGAGGCACATCCCTGGGTAATGTCCCATGCCAGGCGAAGGTAGAGGCATGAGGGAAGCTGTGAAGTGAGGGTCTACCCAGGCTCTAATCCCACCCACTGGCTGGATGACCTGGGAAAGCCAGGGGACCTCTCCGAGGCTCAGGTTCCTTGTCCAGTTGATGAACAGAGACATGTGCACCATTTAGAGGTGTGTGGGTTGAACTAAACTGGGCTTCATGTCTTTGTGAGTCTGAGGCTTTCTAGCCAGATAAGCTGACTTGTTAGGAAGACAGCTCTGCCTAGGAACCCAGGAGCTAAACCAAGCGGATGGGGAGGGCGGGTTGTCTCTGTGCCCAGGTTCAGCCTCTGGATTGGATCCAAGTCCCAGGGAGCCGAGGCCTGCAGGGGGAGGCCCAAAGAGCAGTTTTCACCAAGAACTGTTAGATGTAGGATCCCAGGTGGGGCTGGAGGGACCCGATGAAAAATGTCCTGCAGAGAGGGAGAGAGGTACCTTCCCGTAACCTCATTTGATCCCAGCCACCTCCTTCCCAGTGTACTCATCTGCACTTTGAGGCAATACTAGTTAATCTCCCCAAGTTCTCTGCTTTTGACATCAGTGAGTATATCCCTGGGGAAGGGGGAGAGACTGGCTTTACTTGATCTCCCGCTACAGCAAATAGTTGGCCCCAAGCGCCATAGGAGCTGGAGGTCATAGTGGGCCTAAGTAGCTGGAAAAAGGAATTCCAATCCCTTGGTATTCAAGGGATTTGTTTGAAGCAAAGAAAGGATGGGTGTGGGAGGAGCATTGTGGATCTGCTCAGAGGTTGCTTCAACAGGAAACCTGATAGGGCTGGAGGAACCGGATTTCTGGAAGGAAGGGGTGGAGGAGAGCTGGGGCAAAATGCTCTCTCTAGCAAGCCAGCTGTGCCCCTTCGTAGGTCCCTGGGTCAGAGCCCTGTTTAAGTCAGTTACATTCAATCCAACAAAATATGCTCAGAATCTGCCTGGGTCCCACATACTAGACTGGGGGCAGCTCACAGTTTTGTGGGGGAGACAGCAAAGGATGGTTAATAAAACTACAAAACCAAGTGTCCCTGTGCTTGGGGAGGGAGCAGTAGGCCAACAACGTGAGAGCTTTGCAGTCTGACAAGCTCTGTTCAAATCCAGGCCCTGACCTTACATGGCGGACCAAAGCCTTCCTTCTCCTCTGGATTGGATCTGACACCTTGGAGAGGCCATGCTTTGTCCTGCTTGTCTATCCCTAAAAAGAGAGCAGCTCCCCAGTGCCAAGTATGTAGACATCACCTTTCTGGGGGCACCGACAACCTGCCAGGCCATCCCGCTGGATGGCTGACTCCTCCGTACAGGGGTGGGATCTTCTAAGTCCCACCTTTGCCTTCAGTGCAAGGGACAGTGCTTGGCACATCCCTTTGGAATGCATGAGCCAATGGAAGAATCCTAGAAGCCCAGAAACCTCGCTATCACATCAGCAGCAGGCTCAACAATGAGTCAGCCCCCGACTTGGAGGGAGCTGGCCAGCCTTGATTCCGGCTGGTGGTGAGCTGGGTAGGTGGGGATTCACCCCTGTGCTCCTGGTTTGGAAAGGGTGGGGGATTTCTCTCTTGGATCTTGAGGTTCACCATTCAGCTTAGTCTTTTTTTGGAAACCAGTGAGAGAAGGCCTACCTGGGGGCTCAAAGAGCAAAGAATGAGATGCAGAGGAAAGAGCCCCGGGTCTCCAGCTCCAGCTCTCTGACTCCCCAGGGGCCCTAGAGTTCTTAGTAGACAAGAAACACGAAACATTGTATATTCGTTTGGCTCTGATGCCGAGTCCAGTATGATCTCCATTTGACAGGAGGGCAACTTGTGCCCAGAGAGCTAAAGAAACTGTTTCAAGGTCACAGGCCTGGGAAGCGGCAGAACCTATAGGCCTGCGGACTCCTGAGCCCAGCTACAGAGCCACACTGTCACTCGCTCTGCAGTCCCAGGTCTGTGGGCGAGGTCTCCATCGGCCCATTGACCTCTCTTGGGCTACTGTCCTTCCATCGCTGGAAGGGGCACGGTGCTCCCTTCCAGCTCCGAGAGGTATCAGCTCGCTAGCATGCGTGTGTGTGTGAGTGTGTGTGTGTGTGTGTGTGTGTGTGTGTGTAGATGAGAAGGGCAGGGTGGTGGGCGGCTTCCGGATGCTCCCTGCTGGGCTGACATCCTGCCCCATCCCACTCCCAGCTCCTCGGGGAGGGGCATCCTTTCTGGGAGGTGGGGGTGGGGTGGGACGGCAGCCTTTGGATAGAGGAGCAGAGGAAAAGCTGCTGAGCTCAGCCCACCAGGGAGAGGGGCCTGTCTCCCCCTCCCTTCTGGGACCACTCTTTCCCCTCTCCTTGAGATGTCAGAAACCTCTCCCTTTCTCTGCAGCTGCTGGGCCTCTGGGAAGGCTGGGAGCATGAGCTGGAAGCCCGTAGAGCCCTTCCCTGCCGCCTGCCAACCACCCGCCCTAGCTGCAGCCGAAGCTATAAAAAGCACAGGCGTTCAACAATAGGTGACATCACCCAGCGCTGGAAAGAACTGGATTCTGCCAGATGCCAGGGAGAGTTATGGCCCCTACCTCTCCCGCAGGACAGGAGCCCATTGGGAAAGGGCCTGGGTATGTGCCACTGGAGCCCTGGAGGGACAGGGTCAGACTCCTAAGGCCCTCCTCGGCTCTGGGGGAGGGGCTGGGCATGGGGCCTGGATTTCCCTGGAGGTTTTTCAGGGGTGGGGGATATGGGAAAGGAGCTGGGGAGCAGGGAGGGCTTGCTGACTCCCTTCAGTGTCCAAGCAGAGGTGGGCAGAGACATGGGGACCCGGGCCAGACCTGCTTCCACAGCTACTCTCCAGCTCCCCAGCCCCCGTGAGGAGCATGGTGCCCGGCACTTAGGTCTGCGGACAGGTCTCCTCTCCCGAGCTGGGGAGCTGCAGGCTCCTTCCCCTTCTGTGCCACTCCTCCCAGGCCCTGCTTCGGAGGATGCCTCCCCGCTGTGCCCTCGGTGGGTGTCCGGGCTGGGCCCTGCTCAGAGAAGACTCAGAGATGTCAATACTGAGTGTCGGATGGATCCAAACGGCCAGGCCTGCGTGGCTCCGTGCCTTGGTTCCCTCACCTGGAGACCCAGGACCGTCAGTGAGGTGCTGAGGGGGGCCGGCCCTCCCTGTGCCCCGCCTCCCCGGGTGACCCTGGGCCTCAGGGACCTTCTCCGGGAGGGGCTGCTCCAGCCTGGGGGACCTGGTCCTGAGGTTCTGGGGGGTATGGACACCTGACAGGGGCTAAGTGGGGGGGAGGCGGCTGGACCGGGGCGGAACGAGAGCTTAGTTCCTCTCTGACTGAAGACTTAATCTCCTTCTCTCTGGCTTGGGGGGGCCCCCGGGCCAGCCATCCCCGCTGTGCCCCCAGGCCTGCTGTCCTTTCCCTTCGTCTCCCACCCCTGGCAGCCTCGCTCCTCCCTGGGGGCTCCCCTCCTCTTGGCAGAGCCACATCCCAGGGCTGGTTTGGCCCGCGGCGTGGGGCGGTGGGGCCCTCCCCCACAGAGCCAGCCGTGACCCCCGCTCCGGCCTGCTACTCCCCTTCCCTGATCCCCGGGGGGCGCAGTGTCCCCTACATATGTTGAGATCCTTCCCCCTAAGCTGATAGTGTTGGGTGGTGGGGCCTCTGGGAGGTCATGAGGGTGGAACCCTCAGGAACGGGATTAGTGCCCTTCTCAGAGAGCTTCCCGAGAGACCCCAGCCCCGGAGCCCCGGCCGCCACGTGGGCATATGACAAAAAGAAGGCCCTCCCCAACCATGCTGGCGCCTGACCTTGGACTTCCGCCTCCCGAACTGGGAGCAATGAACGCCTGCTCTTTACAAGCCGCCCAGTCTGGTGTTTTGTTGCAGAGGCTTGGGGACCGAGACCCTCCCCCCGGGCCTCCTTCCACCCCTTCTCTGCTAGCAGTCCTGCTTCTCCAGGGCCCCGCTTTCTCAAATCTGCCCCCACCTCAACCCCTCCCCTTCTGGCAACATGAATCCCACCTCCCCGAGCACAGGGCCCTCTGTCCCACCTCCGTGGCGCAGTGACTTCATTCTGCGTGGCACTTCAGTGCGTGGCCTGTCCCTGCCCTTCTACGGGTGGTGTTTCTGGAGCAGGACAGACCAGCGGGTGCGGTGTTAGGCACAGAGCCCTTTTCCTCCTCACAGCAACTGCCCAAGGCCCATCTCATCACTGCTGTGACACGGAGGAGCAAAACTGAGGCCCAGAGAGGGCAAGTCATCTGCCCTTGGTCACCCAGCCGGCAAGTGGGCAGGTGGAGATTCAATCCCGGTCCGTGTGCGGGGGTCCGTGTGTGCGAACTGAAGAGAGCCGCTCCCCTAGTGGAGTGGGCGCTGGGCCTGACGCTTTTCCTGCAGCCACAGCGTGGACGCCTGGTTTATTAGCCGGGCCCGTGGAGCAACAGGTGCCCGACTAACCCCCGGCGGAAGTAAGGTGCTGAGCTAGAACCGGGCAGGGCTGCCCCGGTCGGTGACCCTCCCGCCCTCGCCCTCAGTCTGGCAGAGATTTGAACCAGAGGTGGAGCCAGGGCGGCCACCGAGTCCGAGAGCCCTGGCTTATCTGTCCGTCCCCTCACCAAGCTGCTCACTGCTCCTCTCCTTCCCAGCCCGCTGCCGTGGGGAGAGGGCCAGAGGCTTCCAGCCCGGAGCATGTGGGTTGGTGTCCTGACGAACCGTGGCTGAGCAGGGGGAGCGGGGCCTGGGCGGCCGGCAGCCCTCCTGTACTTCCTAGCATGGGGCCTTGCCCGGCCCTCAGTGTGGGGGTGGCCGTGGCCGTGAGGACCAACGGCACTTGGCATGAGGCAGCCCCGAGTTGGAGCGTGTCTGCTCCCTCATGGCTGGTGACAGGCACCCAACACCTCAGCAGGCAGAGACGGAGCCGGCTGTGGTCGCTGGCATGCCTTCTTGAGTTCCCTGCACCCCTAAGAGCAGGATGGGCACTTCCTCCACCTGCTGTCTCTCCTGCTGCCCCCCTGTGCTCGCCGCACCGACCCCTGCGCCCTGCAAACCCCCAGCTCCAGCTGCATCCTGCCCAGCCCAGGACAGGGAGGATGGTCTTCTCTTGAGACCACACACAAGTGCTGAATCACATACCTAAACTTCGTGTTTTAATTCTCACCTACAAAATCAACACCTCCAAACGACATCACACTAAAGGCGCAAGATCTGCCAAATATTCCATGGACTCGCTCCCCCAGTCCTTTTCCTAACTCCCTCCCCATCCTGGGGCTAGCTGGAAGGATGAAAAGAAGACAGAAGAAGGGCAAAGAAGGGAGAAAGAGAGGAGTTTAGGAAGGGCGGTCTCCAGGGGGAGAGCAGGGAGGAGCCCCCTGGGGGTCCGCCCTCGTTGGGGAGCACCACTCCTGCTCACCGATGTGTCCTCTGAGCACGAGGCAATGATGTTGTCAATGAATGGGTTCCACTTGATGTCCAGCACGTTGCCCTGGTGACCACAGACCTTGGGGTAGTTGGGTTCAATCCTGCCCGTCTGCCAAGGAGAAAAAAAGAGAGAAGAGGATCAGTCTAATGGTCCTCGGGTGACCCTGAAAGGAGAGCCTTTATTCTAGGCTTTTAAACTGGACTGGAAGGTCCCAGAGGACCTGCCATTGTCTTATTCACCTTTGCATCCCTGCCTCAGGCTGGTCCAGATTGTTCCGTGGCTGTGTCCTCCCCAACACCAAATGGTCACGGGGCAGGGGACACACAGCAGAGCGCTAAGGCAGGACCACTGTTGGTCCATGGATGCCTTTGTGCAAATTAGGAAAAGGTATCCCTTCCTCAAGTAAAAAAGTTTAGAGTTAGGATGGTCCTATTCGCCTGAACAACCAAAGCCTAGTGGGCAGCCCACACCTCCAGACACGGGAACATATGTACTCTCCCCAGTGCCCATACCCGCCCCCTGCCCTCCAGGGGAGGAGGCTCCTTCCTGCTGCTCCAGGAGTCAGCAAAGAGGCCTGAGTCTCTGGGTCCACCTGAACACTGTCATACGTGTCACTCTGCCTACGTTGTGAACTGTGCCGCTCCCAGATGTGGACGCTTGTTCAGTGCACATCTTAAACACCTGTACACAGTGCCCTGTGGTTCAAAGCATAGTCTACGGAGGCACACAGACCTGTGTTTGAATTACAGCTCTGCTACCTTTTAGCGACATGGCCGTGGGAAAGTCAGTGAAGTTCTATGAGCTTCAGTTTCCTCATTTCTGAAATGAGGAGAGTAACATCTGCCTCTTAGCCTTTGGTGAAGATTGAATGAGCTAACGCTTAGCCAAGTGCTTCGTGTGGAGATTATCATTACAGTGAATGCTCAATATATGTTAGTAGTATTATTATCATACAGATTAGATAATAACACCTCCTCCAGGAAGTCTTCCCTGATCCCTCAATGGGTGAAGAGCTCCTCCTCTGGGTGCTCATAACATTCTAGGCTTCCTTCTATTACAGGCACCATCATGCGCAATTGCAGCCTGTTTCTATTTGTCTGCGAGCAACTGAGGACAGAATCTGTTTCTTGTCTCTGATTATCCAGCTCCTTACAAGCCTGGCACAGGCTCTGTGCTAGGTACATGACCTGAAAGATGTCCTTCAAAGGGAATGAATTCCACAAAAGATGAAACAAAGAATGTGGGGGAAGGGGAAGGGAAGGGAAGCCCATGTTTAATGAAGGGAAGGAAAATTATAGGCAGAAGCTGTGTTTCCCTCCCCAGGACTTTTTAATACTAGGTTTTTGGGGGCATCAGAGGAAATAGGGAGGATTTTCCCAGTCATTTCCCATCGGCTGATAGTGGGTGGGTCATTGGAGGCACCTCAGGCAGGCCGTCCCTGACCCCCGCTTTAGGTCCCTCAACGGACTAATGAAGAAGAGAATCAATTTTTGCAAAGCCTCTGCTTCATGTGCCTTATGCTTCACCAGCATGATGGGGCAAGAGTGATTTCAGAGTGTGTCCTGCTGTAACCTCTCCCCACCCACTTTCTGCCCGCATGTCTAGCAGCTCATTTCCAGATCCTCTGACTTTTTGTGACACAGCAGTGGCCGAGATGGGTAGAGAAGAAACAGATCCAAGATTAAATGGCAATGGTACAGAGGGTGAGAAATGAGGCAGCGACAGAGAGGGGGGAAAAAAGTATCGGAGGTGTACAAAGGGGAGCTTCACGGACACCGTGCATTGTGGGAAAATTACAGAATGGAGGCAAAGGAGATCTGGGGGGCACCACCAGAAGTTAGGAATGGGGTCCCCTTTGCCATTCTAGGGGGGATGCAGTTAGAACGGGGATACCTTTTCAGTTATTTTTGGGCTGTTTGACTGTTTTTTTTAAATGAGACTCTAAGCAGAGACTGAGCCACATGTGACCATGGCATCTGTCAGGGTTACACATGATCTTTTACGCTCACACATCCTGTGATTTAGGTCTGAGGAACTTAAGACCCAGAAAGCTTAAGCCACTTGCCCAAGTTCACCCAGCTGAAAGCAAATCAGGGGTTCCTGCCTAGGGGTGACCCTCAAGGCTGAGCTTTTTGAATCCCACTGCTCATTTGGGCCAACCCTTCTCCTCCAGCCCTGACTTCCAAGGGCAGATAGGCCCTGCCTTGTCTGCTCCCACAGCTCACACACTCTCTGACGGCACCATTCCTTACATTTGATCCCACAGGCTGCATCTGAGTGATCCCTGAGCAAAGCTGTCTGCATTACGCTTTTGGCACCCAGCCCAGCCCAGGCATATCCAAAGGGGCACTGAATCAGTCAATAGGTGGCCATCAGCTAACAGCAGCTTCTGGCCTGAAGCCTAGAGGGACAGGTTAAGCAACATCGCTGGAACCTATTCAGAATGGAGTGAGGTCAGAGCCCTGCATTGGGAAGGGAATAAGTCTTTTTAAAGCCGAGAATGATCCTGATGTAATGTATACTCCCAGGCGGACCTTGCCTTACACAATGGATGCATTCCCCAGTAGGGTGGGGAATTATGATTGTCGTGACTAAATCACATTGTTGCTTATGTGAACAGTGACCTCTGTAGTTGCGCAGTGCACAACCTACTTAGCTGTACATGGCAGCCCTCAAGGGAAGAACTCCCTTTCGACCTGGCAACTCTGCTTTTCCTATTTTATACGGTAAGGTTTCACTTAACATTTTGTTTGAAAGACAAGTTCCACTATTAAGAAAAAACATCTGAAAACCACTGTTCTATGGAGAAATCAAGTAAATAAAAAAATGTAATTATTAACTCCAGGAAAAAGGTTGTATAAGAAAGCTAATGTAAATCATAGTGATAATGATATATGTATAATATTTACATAGCTGTAATAATGTAAATCTTGAATATTTATTGAAACAAGAGTTATACTATAACATACTGGGAGCACAGAGGTAGGGAAAGTATGTGTGTGTGTGTGTGTGTGTGTGTGTGTGTGTGTGTGTGTGTGTGTGTGTAGTAAGAGCTGGAAGAGAGCCAGATCCTCATCTTCCATAATAGGAAGTCAACATACAACGTCTAAGATTTAAAAAATCTAGACATGGCGGTGAAAGCGTGTAATTAAGAAATATGGGGATAAGTGCAAAAAGAAACAGCTAAAGTCCATGAAGGGAGCTCCCTTTGGGGATTGTAGTGAAGTGGGGGAGGGACTGAAGTTACAGGCAGGGGTGTACTGGTAACTGTTTAACTGGTTTTCCGGGACAAAAAGGCCCCATCTGGAGCATTTGCCAATTTCAGTGGTGTAAATATTCCCACCATGCTAACTTTGATCTACCAGGTTGATGTCCCCAACAGTAGGCTCAGAAGAGACTCACAACAGTCCACAGTCATGTGAGATTTCTACCATGGGTATAATAGACACCAGTCACCTGGAGAGCACGGAGATTAGTCAAGTAACTAGGGAGTAATGAATTGTTAACATTTAGTACCTTTGTTTTTGATGTAATTTATTTAATTGCAAGTTTGCGTAACTTAGTTTTTAATAATTAATACTGTGTACCAATAATTAATAATGTGTACCAATCAGCTTGCAGAGCTCCTAAGAATGTAGCAACAGGCTCTCATGAGCCGGTACGAGCAGATTGCGGCGCATCACTTATGCTCTAGGCCTTGTAGCGTCACTAGGCAGTATGAGCTCTGGACCATTACTGCTTTGAGAGGCATAAAAATTAAAGAACAAAGAAATAAAATGCAGGTGCCAGATGTTCTAAAGGAAGCTTGTTCGGTATTTAAAAAAAAAATGTGAAGAATCCTCTCCCCAGGCCCCCAAATCCCTCTGTTTTCTATTCCATTTTCTGTATGGGGGTGTGACTTGAGACCAAATCCGGATCTGGTCCGTAACTTCTACGCAACACCGCCTTCTCTCACTCACTCTCCTCCTAATTCGCACAGCGACACTAACAGCCATCATTAATGTAATCAGATTTCATCCTCATAACAGCTTCATCTTACAGCCGAGGGAGCAGAGATGTAGAACGTGTCCAAGGAGCAGAGTCAAGGTTTGTCAGTGTTTCGTAAGGTTAGGATCACTGCGGAGATGGTCAGTTCACAGTGCCCCAGTGGGAGGGTGTCAGGGGTCCTGGGGTCTATCTTGCCATCTGGTCCTTGAACCTCAAAGACAGCTTCAGCCTCAACAGAGCTGGGGCAGAGATCCTGCTGCCTGGGGTGGGGTGGGGAAGCCCGTTCCTTGGTGTCTAAAATCCTAGAATCCCGACAGAAATCTTCGTGCTGTTGGTGTGGGCCTTAGCCTGGAGGCCTCAAAGGACAAATCCAAACCCGCTTCAGTGAGACAGACCTTCAACATCAAATGTTGGGGAGCCGCTGTTTCATACCCTGAGCCTTCTCAAGGAGAAGCCCGGTGCTGGGAGTCTGGTCATATCTCAAATATACCTTGTCTACCAGAAGGCAACGTTGGTAGACGCTGGGACACTGGCCTCTCTGGACCTTCCTGCAGGTGCATTTGATCTAGTTTCTCAAGGACTTTTAAAAGGTTCATAGCCTTTGGCCAATAATTCCACTTGGGGAACTTATCCCAGGGGGATCCACAGAGAAGCACGGGAGAACATTCACTGCTGTGTTGTTTATAATAGAGAACAATAAAATAAATGCCCAACAAGGGGACACCGCCAAAATGAATTATGGTACACCGATATTACAGAATATTATGAGGTCACTGAAAATTGTATTTTCAAAGAATACTTAATGACTCGAGAATTGCTCAAGAGCTAATGTTTAGTGAAATAGTCAGAAGCAAGCTATGCACATAAAATGATCCCTATCTATTAAAAAAACACATAGTCTGTGAGAAAATACATCGAGACGTTAAGAGCGGTGATCTCTGGCTAGTTGGATATTCCTGGTTTCCAATTCTTCCACGATGAACATTTATAATTTGTATCCCAAAGATAGATTTTTTTAAATTTATTTATTTGACAGACAGAGACAGCAATAGAGGGAACACAAGTAGGGGGAGTGGGAGAGGGAGAAGCAGGCTTCCCGCTGAGCAGGAGCCCGATGCGGG